ATTATTCTTAATCACTTAAGCTACAAGCTTCTTCTATTTGAATTTCAATTAAGAGCTTAACAAATGAACATCTATTGCGTATGGCAGAGATACGTATTTAATTTAGTATACACCGCATGGCATTTTGCATAATATGCCAACAAATGATTCGTGCATGAATAATTATTCTTAATCACTTAATTAAGAACTTAACAAATGAACACCTATTGCATATGGCAGAGATACGTATTTAATTTAGTATACACCGCATGGCATACGGTACTTGATTGGTTGGGTCGGGCGACCCACCTCAGTACAAAAGAGATGTTTTGTAGGTGAACTGTCAAATGTGGACCTTGGCATTGGGTGGCAGGGCCCGAACTATTGGGCCTTCCTTTCTTTCTTATCAAAAGCTGGGCCCTGGTCAAGTAACTCACTTTTTATAAAAGGTTGGAGGAGCAATGAAACGACGCGTTTTGAAGTGGCTCAAGGTGTGTAAAACGACAAGTCGTCCTTCTGTTTATTTGAGCACATTGCACGAATGCTGAATGGTATTTTTCCATGTTTGGGCATGGCATTTACTTGAGAAAATACAAACTCCATAAGTTTGAGATTTTGCCTTCCCAAAAGCAACGAATAAATAAATAAACTTGTAATATGCAATATATTTAAATGAATCATACATGTCACTCAAGCACTAAATTTATTTACTTAGTGGGAAGCGCTTTTGCCAAAATTTTCTCCGACCCAACACTATTACATGCCGCTTAAAGGGTGTCAATCTACCTCACCTGAGGCTGTCAAGCAACAAATTACCCACCAAAGAGGCTAAAACAACCTAATTTACACAGCTTGAAAACAATAGTGCCCCAACATCTTCTTTCTTTTTCGTCTCCTTTTGTCTTTTTGGGCAACAAATTAGGGATCTGTATTCACCAAGGTAGTGTAGGTACAGAAAAATCTACAAGCATCACCCAAAAACATCATTTTCTATCAAATTTCCTTTCTTTCTCTTTCTTTTTTTTTTGCTGGCAAAGTTGAAGAAGTTTGTTGAGCTAGCCCATCTATCAATCTCCAAAAGAGCATCAAACACAATCATGAGTTAGGTTATGGGCAGCAAACTCAAAAGCAGAACAACATATCATATAAAACAAGGTTATAAAATTGGAAGGAAATCATTTTCCTTTTGAAGTATCTTGCATAACATTTATGATATAACCCTTGCTTAGCTTAAGCACTCATTATATCCCAACCACTTAGGCTTTAGCAATAATGATGCATTACCTTTTGGTGTAAAGTTTAACATCAAGTTCATGTAACTTATTTATTTACTTATAAGCTTTAATTGGTATGACATCTCACTGGAAAATGTATGTTTTCATGAACTAATATGGCATGATTAGTTGTTATCATCGATGATTTATGGCTAAAAGGCATGGTGATGTTTGATTTATTTGAAGCTAACAATAGTTTTACAATTTACCACCTTAAAATTGTGCCCGTGAATTATAAGGAGTGTATGATGATATTTTTAGAATGTGAATTATATATTCAAATAATTTTCACTCAGAGAAATGATCACACTTCTTTTAAATACAAGTAGTATTGAAAGAGTGGAATTTGATAAACACTCTTAATCATTTGAGTTACACATAAACCCTTTACTATTACCATATCTTAATAATATTTATAAAAAAATGGCTTAATTGTAGTAATGGTCCTGAACTATACCCGTAGTTACATTTTCATCCCTCAACTCCAAAAATAGTTGTAGAGGTCCCTCAATTATGTATTTTGTTGCACTACTGATGCTTTCTATTAAGTATGTCTATTTTTCCGTTAAATACATGGGTAAATTTGGAAATTCATTCCAAATATTTATACAAACAAAATAATAAAAAATAATTAAATAAAACTAAAACTAAAATAAAGAAAAAGGAAAAAAGAAAGACAATTCAATTGCTTCTCCTCCCTTGTACCAAACTCGCCACCCAATCCTTCCTCCCACCCCAACCTAGCATTGTAAACCATCAACCATAAACATCCACAAATGTAAAATCATAGTAATTACCCAGAGAGAGAGAGAGAGAGAGAGAGAGCACTTCATGCCTTCTCATGTGAGCTCATTGGAGATCTCCATTTTTTAACACTTTGTTTGATTTTAAATTATAGGTTTTTTAAGATTTTGTGGGATAAGAAGGGTGGGGGAGGAGGAAGGGGGAGGGTTATGGCGAGAATTGGGGCTGGAGTATTTTGAGGAATACGGGCTGGGGATGGGAGCCAAGCGTGACAGATAGAGGGATTGGGGTTGGGAGGAATTGGAGGAGGAAGAAGGCGTGGGTTGCGGCAATGAAGGAAGGGGAGGGTTGTGAATGAATTTCCTAATTTACTCTCATTTTTTTACAGAAAATTTAACAAAATTTAACGGAAGAACCAATTATGCAATACGATACATAATTGGGGATGCATAATTAGGGGACCTATACAACTGTTTTTGGAGTTGAGGAATGAAAATATAACTACAGGTATAGTTTGCTACGATTAAGCCTAAAAAAATTCGTTGAATTGGTTGTTGTGGGACATGTATAGGGTGGCAAAAGGAGTAGGCTTGATCATGCTGTCTGGAGCAATTTGGTCCACGTCCTTATCGGCATAACATCGAGGCATTGAACTTTTAATTGATGAGATAAAGCTGGCCTGCCTCAGAACATACCTGAACTGATACCCCTTGCAATGTACATAAATATATATATATATATATATATTTGCCAGATTCTTGTCATATAATGATGAGGAGGTCGAAAAGTGAGTAAAATCAACATAAAATGTATATTTATAAATTCAATAAATAAAAAATCAATCATGAGACCACATTTTGCAAATAAATTTTGTATTGTTGGTGCAAATTATAGTCAAACATATATACATGAATGGAGATGATCGAGCTCCGAAGTTCATTCTTGTAAAGTATCATATTACCAAAAGTTGTCCTTCTAATTTGATTATAAAAAAAGAAAGAAGATGTCTTTCTATTTTGCTTTTTCATCATCCTATTTATTTTTGTAGGGTTAACATCCTATTTATTTATTTATCATAATTTAGAAAGTTGCTTAAATTGTTGGTCAAGGACGATTTGGCCAACTTTCATACAAGTTCATAACAGGACTTTTGCTTTTAGACGCATCGCATAAATCAGCTTCTCAAGAAAATAAAAAAAAATCATGACTGGTGTGAAGCACATTAAACTACATAAAGAGATGACTAATCTTTTGTCATATATGTAGTGTATATGTAGTATGTTAGGTAAATGGTAACAATCACAATTTCATACATAATTTTAAAAGTAAAATACTTGCTTCCTTTTCTAGAAGTAGGAACTCCTATTTTCTTGTCAATTATATTTTGACATGTATGTGAGATTTTTCTTTTTGTGGTTTTCATGAATTATTTTTGCATATGGGTTAAACTGTGATTTGCAAGAAGTAGGAATACAGTCCTTTCACACCTCTGTGTATCTAAAATGAAATAGCAAAATGAAAACGACTTATGTTGATGTTCAAAAATGGAACCAACTTCGAAGTGATCCACCTTCAGTCGGTGGATATGTAAAAGAGAGATAGAGCAATGGTAAGGCTCTAGGCACCGATGTGGTATCGGCCGAAGACTCTCCGATACTTAAGTTAGCTGAAGAATTGAGTGAATAAATAATTAGACAACGTAAGAGTACTAGTGACAAGTTACTGCTACCTGGTACTTTGGGGTAAGAGCTCAATTTATAGAGGAGAGAGTTGGAGCACCATGAGTTATAGTTTCGATGTGAGACTTGTGGACATTGTTCGAAGGGCTGTCACGTGTCCTCACATGAAAGTAGCACGGCCGGTGCCTTTGTTGAGCCGGATCGATAGGTGAAGTTGCCTGGGGCTATCCCTTGCCGATGGTCGTTGTGAGTTCTAGTGATTGAGCTGGGTCATGTGGGCCATTTGTTCAACGTGTTCTTGTTAATAGGGTCCGGTCATATATGGTACAAACAACTTAACAATAAGCATTTGACAGACACAATTTCCCAATATATTTACAATCCTCATTTTATATAAAAGAAGAAGAAGAAAAAAAAAAGGCTTGAATCTCCCACAACCACTTCTCAATGATTTGGAGAATCATTTTGAGAATTGACTAGCAAACGAGTATTAACTTACCATTATTTGAGGAAACAAATGAAGACGATGAACCAATCCATTTCCTTTTCTTATTATTGTCATATAAATAAATATCATATGTTAATTCTGATTTCAATTTTTTTGCTTTAAAAAATTTGGCTGATTCTGCGATTAAAGACAAAAATGACTTGAAAAGGAAGCAGGATCATATACCATCATGACCAATGATGGGAGCAGAAAAAAACAACCTTTCAAATTAGCAACAAAGAAAAAGGAATATCATTTTGCACAAAATAGTCAAATGCAGTGACATCACTAAGACATTGTTGTTTGCTCACTTGCAGTAGCTTAATCTATTTTTCTTTGATTCTTCTGTATTGTATTACTAATTTGTAAATATTATAGTAATTGCCATTTGTCATATAAGATTTAAGGTTAAAAAATAAACAGAGCATCCATTTGTGAATACATTGACTTTGTTAAGCATAATTTGATTGCTGATTTGTTGGTGTGATACATTACTAATTTTGCATCTTGGTTGGTGTATGCTTGTATGGTAATAAAACTTCTTTAGATGGGACTCCAAATTGGCCTTTTGTTGTTTGAAACTCGACATGATAGGACTAAACTAACCGTAATGTCTGGTATACAATGAATTTAACAATCGTACAACATGGACTTGTAATTCAAGTAAGTGGTTAAGAAGAACTATCCATATTCCTGAATTCATAATGACTTCCATTTCCCTTTCTGTAATTTATGAATAGCTAATTTTTTTTTTCTTTCAGAAAATTAAAACAATGTCATTTACATGTTCAGTGTATCAACAAAAGGCAGTGCATTCCAACAAAGGGAAGAAGAAGAGGAGAAAGACAGAATCACATTCCCAATTGTGTCAATTAATCTTTCCACAAAGCATCCAATCCCAACTACCAAATATCCAAATATCAAACAAATATCAAAACAAATTGTTGGTTTTTGGTTCTAATTAAATTAAGCTGTATTCTGCTGCATTTCCCTCTATATTGATTCTCTGTTCTTCCAGAGACCCAAGAGCAATGTCCCCCCAATTACAACTCGACACGTTGCATCGAACATGCCCCTTCAAACCATCGCCATTTCCAAGCCGTCCGATCAGCCATCCCTGTTCGCCGAGCCAGCATCGAACGACTGAGAATGAGAGCTCCTGTTGCTCTTCATCCTCAAGAACCCATACAACTTCCTAAAGTCCCTAACGGTATGAGCGCCTTCCCCGCAAAACACCCCGCCGGGTTCAACCATTTCGTCCCCGGACTTTCTCGACCCGACATCAAACCCCACCCGCCGCCCGAACATGCCGATCCCCCTCCCATCGCCGTCCGTTTGCAGAGCCGTGATGACCGATTTAATGGCCCGACTCGGCGAGTTCCGGTTCGCGATCATTAACTCGCCGATCTCGGCCGGGCTCAAACTTGACCCATTCAGAAAAATCTCCTCCACCTGAGAAAAAAGCTTGTGCTCTTTCACCCCCAAATAACTCGTCGCTAGATTTTTGAAGGCTCCGAAATCGCAGAGCGGAAAATGGATATGGACGTCGATCCGACCCGGCCGCAGAAAGGCCGGGTCAACGTGGTCCTTCGAGTTCATCGTGAACACCATGACCCGCTCCTCCGCGCAGCACGAGTTCAACAACCCGTCCATGAAATTCGATATCCCCGAAAAGCTCAAACCCGTCGATTTCTCGGCGAGATATCGGTCCAAATCCTCTATCACAATTACCGACTTGGTCGTCGTCTGCAACAGTAGCGTCTTCAGCTGTGAATCGTCTTTGACTCTCGATAGATCGAGATCGTACACATCGTAGTTGAGGAAATTGGCCATGGCGGCCACAAAGCTTGATTTTCCAGTGCCTGATGGCCCGTATAGCAAAAAGCTCCGTTTCCAAACCCGACCCAGTCTGTGGTAATACTGCCTGGCCTTGAGAAACGACTCCAAATCGGATTTTACCTTGGATTTGAGATCGGCTTCCATGGTTATGGTCTCCAAGGTCGATGGGTGCGTGAACGGGACGGCTCTCCATGCTCGATTGGGTGCTTCAACGTTCATGAAAAGCCTCAAGTCCCGTTTTTTCTGCTCCAGCTCATCAGCGACGACATGGATGTGCTGCAAATAAGGCCTGAGAATCCGACGCTTATCGGCTTTTCGAATCTTCAACACTAAGCTTCTGCTCGTACTGTCTGTACTGGCCCCTGTTTCCCATAGCACCTTGGCGCCGAGGAAGTCGTCTTCGATGGTCTGGTTTCGGTCGAGCTTGAGTACAATTTCATTGGGTTTTTTGCCCGTGACGAGATTGGTGAAATCCGATTCTTCAATGGAGGTGAGAGAGTTGAGATAGTCGGTGACTTTGCCATAGAGGTGATTTTCCTGCATGCTTTCGTTCAATTCTGGGACTTTGAAAGATTGGTAGACATGGAAGCAGTCTTCGAATCGCCTCCACCATTTCTTCACAAGAAAAACCAACCCAGTTTTGTACAGAGCCACACGGATTGCTACAAATATACAGACGGTTACAAGTACAAGAAAGAATGGGTTGGAAAGAATCATTCTTTTTCTTCTTTTGAAATTTTGGGGCAAAAACCCACTTCCCAAAACCAAAAAGTTGGGAAATTTGGTGATCTATAGCAGAGCTTTTTGTGGTGAAAAGGGAATTTTCATAAGTCTTTTCCTTCTTTTTGAAGGGAAAATCATGGTGGGTACAGAGAGAGTTACGAATACACTTGGGTTCGGAAGAAGAAGATGAGTAAATGGAAATATGGAGGAAAAAAAAGGGAAATTTATATACAGATGAGAGAAGATGAGGAATGTTAAATGGGGAAGGGATTGAAATTTGAAGGTAGAGTATTTAATTGGAAGACGGCTACCTGCCGGCAAGTTTCGATGGGTCAAAGGCGAAGTGAGAGAGAGAGAGAGAGAGAGAGAGCAAGCGAATTAAGCGAAAGTAAAGGCTAAAGCTGTGTTTGGATTGAAAATATTAATATAAAAAAGATTAATGAGAGATTTCAAATTGTCCTTCATTTGCTAGCTGCTGTCCAGCCCATTGATGATGTGTTTTATGGGCCTTTCTTTATTAGATTAAATGCAAGACTTTTTTTCTTTTAATTTTGAATCTCTCTAATAATTATAATATTTCTTTACCATATAGTACCAATAATCCAATCATATTCTCAGCATATATGGTATAATTATTTTTCTCAACTCACAGATTTATGAAGTTTCCAACTCAGAGTGTGGAAAATCATATTCTGATTCGGTTTTGTAATAATAATTGTTGGTCTACCAAATGGCCAATTTAAATTTTATTTTTGATGCTAATCCCCACAAAAGAAAACGGATTATAATAATTTGTTCTCACCTTCTAGAAAATTGATTCCAATAATTAGGTTTTTTTTTTTTTTTTTTTTGGCTTTGTATATTCTATCACATCTTTACCTTTTCTTATCTTCCGTATTCATCTTTACTTTAAAAAGAGCGAATTATTGCTACTTAACAAAGTGTGAGGCCTACTAAACATTAAAATAAAAACTCGATTTCATTTTATAGTAAAATTACATGAAAGGATAAGCTTCAAATTAGGACAACCAGCTAATCTAACTAGGATCATATGACCGTACTACCATATCACACTATAATTACTCTTAATCTAATAGTATTCTTCTTCAACCAAAGATGCCAAGATAATGAAGCACTAATATGCATGCGGTAATGGCCGTCATAGTTCAAAATAAACAAAAAGAGATAAAAAATTTATAGCGGTGAATACGGTGAATAAATGGGGGAGTAGGGTTATCGCTAGCTACTCTCTAAAAATTGAAAAATATAAATAAATACAAAACCGCTTTATTTGAACAAAATTCATTCAAGTTTTAGCTACACGTATCGTACTAGTATATGTATTCGTATATTCTTTCCTTGTTCTCATATCAACTGCCCGCATTTTGTTTCCATGCAATCATCATTGATCCAAGTGTCCCTCGCTAGCTGGTTGAAGATACCAACCTCTATGATCTATGGAGCTTCTTATGTCATTTGTAAGATCCGAATTTAATGAATATGTTATGACGTTCTACTTGTAGCTGTGACATACCAAGAAACAACAACCAATAATTAACCCTCACGGGTTGGCCCAGTGGTAAGGGCGTTTCCCAGGGCCTATGTAAACGGGAGATCCTGGGTTCGATTCCTGCCGTTGGTGAATCAAGCGATGAGGGCCAGGGACGGGGTGAAATTCCCTATAGCCTCTCCGGGTCCCGGAAGGGGTGGATGGCCGTGGCTTGCCACCAGTTGTCCCCCTTTTTAAAAAAGAAAAAAAAAAAGAAACAACAACCAATAATAGTTTGCCCTAGTCTCCATATGGAAGGAGACCAACCAGCTTAGCTAAGGTTTTGTCAATTTTATGGCCGAATATTCAACGCTAAATTCAAATATTTTTGAAGTTCTTATGTGTACGCAGTCTTTTTTCTTTTGGTCAATACGTGTATGTAGCCTAAGTGCGACAAATACGAACAAAAATGAAGGCAGAAAAAGCCTCCTTTTTCTTTTTCTTTTTTCCTTTTAGAATTCTACACTACTCATTCATCAACTTTCAAAGTTGAACGAGCATCAGCTCTTGCACACTTTGAAAAGGCCAATTCATCCCAACTTGTGTATGATGTCGTTTATCATCAACTTTTCCTTTTGATTTTGGCGGATTTTAGACGATCAAAAGGTTTTCCTTGTGAATTTTGTTTTTTTTGGATTAATCAACACGAGATTATTCTTTGATTCCTTGTAGAATATTTTGGCCCCGAAATGGCTGAAAGTCGGTGCAAGTTTGTAAGGCCATTGAAAGTTGATTGAGATCAAAGATTATTATAGAAGCTTTTGGCATGTTGCTGTTGATAGAGAACTCCACGTTGAACTTTTTACGTGTGAAAAGTTCATAAAATAAAATGAATATTTTAGAAACTGGATTAAATAGTTGATTGAGTTTGACTAGGTCACTTTTTTCTTTATTTATTTATTTTTTGTTTGTTTGTTAAAACACTAGGTCATGTTAATTACCACTGATAATTTAATTTGCACATCAACTTGTTACTAATTGAGCTGAGTCTTATAACTACGTCATGTAACAATACTTTTCGTCCGTACACTCACCACAAAAATTCGACTCTTAGGATTTTTTTCATATCTTAATAAAAAAATAACGCAAATTATGTGGCATATGATTAACGAAATATATTATTTACAATGCTATGCTTAAATAATATTTAAGGCTTAATTTTTATCTTATTAGACGCGGCTTAAACACGGGTTTGGGTGGAGCAGATATTGTTTGGGTCACTTGAGAGAGACTTTTGAATATCCATGAGAAGATAAAAACAAGGCACTGGCACTTTATGCAAAAATTGCAAACTCCTTTCTGCCTACGCCATTTGGTTTTGAATGTTATTTTATATTCATAGCCCCATTAATATTGTCACTTCCTATTAGCTTTAAACACTTTTGTTTAGCCTTAATTTTCAACCCTACGATTCCCCTACTTTAGTTGTCTGTTTTTGGACTTCTTTCTTGTAAATGTTGGTGCTAATACAGACAGCATTAGTATGCGTGACGACTAAGTCACCTTCACATGTATAACTTCCTAATTAAAATAAATATTGTATACCAATTCTTTTGAAGAGTGCTCGGGACAGTCGCGCGGACATTGCCCTCATTCTCATTTGTGCATGGACGACTTTCGTCGCATATTTCACCCTTTGTTAAGAAAACCCCAGTTAGTTGTGTCAACTAGGGTAGCCACTAACTAGTTGTTGTGATTTAGTCTTGTGTGTTAGGTTGAATATGGACTTTTAAAGCGTCTTGCATATGCATTATGGGACTAATTCAAGCTAATTATTATTAATTAAGTCGATAACTAGTTAGTTAAACACACACTCCATGAAAAAACAAGTCATTCTAAACTTGGCATCGTCTTGTGCTGAAAGGGGAATTTGAGGTGGGGTAAGGGAGAGTTGTCACATTTGCAGTGGTTGTGGCTGTAGATGATCACCAAAAACTATCTACCAATTAGAATTTTTAGGTATAAAACAAAAAGAAGCAAAATCAATAAGACAATGATTCTGTTTGTAATTAGGTTGTAACTACGACGTGTATGTATTTTGGAACACACAATTTGATGGGTTAAGGTTTCGTGTATGTATTTTGTGGCAGTTGTGTGTTGCAGGGTTTCAACATCTTTTTTCGTGAAAACTCCATCAACAGTTGAGAAGATATTATTGACAGCCATCTGTTTCTTCTTGAATGAAAATTCCATTTTGTATTCGTCTGAAATTTTTTATTTTCTGACGTTCTCGATTATGCGCGGTCCTAAATCAATTTGGAAACTTTTTTTTATTTTTCTGGCAATGTTTTTTTGGGGCCATAGATTTTCCTGGCGAATGTGGCTTACAATTGGAAAATGAGATGGGACTTTGCCTGAGCCATTCGATCCATCAAGGTGGAAGGGCTAGCCCAGTTCAGGTTGCTAAATCTCATTTGGTCCAGATTCTGTCCATGGACGACACGATTCCAAACATGTGAGTAGACATTGGGTCGGACCAAATAAAACACAAGTAAGAGCCTTTTTTGTCAAAAGATCACGTTTATTTTTTAAAAATATAAGCGATAGCATAAACTACGTGAGATGGGGGCTTCTCACACACAATGTCAATGTGCAATTTTTTTAAAACATAATGAGCTAAAAATTTGATAATTTTTTTTTTCCCAGAAAGCTAAGAATTTGATATTGCTTGATTTAGATTTGAGATTGGATCATAAAGCTAAAGACTACCATGTATCTTCATTTTTATTTACACCTTCAAATGACCCAATGTCCTAATTTCGAATTACTGGTGTTCTCCATTTGGTTAAATTAACCATGATTTAAACCAGGGACGGAGCCACACTGGGACCAGTGTGGTCTCGGGCCCCCACTCAAGTTTTTATATATTTTAAAAGTAATATACTGTTATGTATTACTATATGTATATTATTTCAAATACTTTACGTTTTGATATGTACCCACATGTGTTGTGGTGGATCTATTAAGGCACAATGAGGTGCTTCAAATTGCCCCTTTGCTCAGTTGGTGGTGGTGCACTCCAGGTGTACATATTATCTTATTTCCATTTTCAGCATTTAAGTAAATGTCTTTGTCATTTTACTTTAATTTATTTTTATATTACTCCATTTACTTAAGTTTACAATGTAAATAAGGAAGTACCCCCTATTTGGATTCAAATAAAAATACTAGAAAATCAAAAT